GAATCAAGATTATCCGAGATAGACAAAAGAAGCTACTGTGGCTAAGTCAAGAGATTATATTGACAAGATTCTGAAGAGATTCAGCATGGACAAAGCCAAAACAGTGAGCACCCCCTAGCCGGACACATAAAGGTGAACCAGAAGCAATGTCCGAGATCTGATGAAGACAAAGACGAGATGCTGAAGATCCCATACCAATCTGCCATTGGAAGCTTGATGTACGCAATGGTTTGCACTAGACCCGATTTGGCATATGCTGTTGGAATAATAACCCGGTATCTATCAAACCCCGACAAAGAGCACTGGGAAGCAGTGAAGTGGATCTTCAAGTACCTCCGAGGTACGACCAACTTATTCCTCCGATTTGGAGAAGGCAAAGTCGAGTTGCAAGGCTACTCAGATTCTAATTTAGGGGGAGATTTCGACTCGAGAAAGTCGAGACGGGATACATGATGAGATTTTCCGGAGGAGCTGTCTCTTGGCAATCAAGACTTCAGAAATGTGTTGCACTATCGACAACTAAGGCTGATTATATTGCAGCTACTGAGGCAAGCAAAGAGATGCTATGAATGAAGAAGTTCCTCATGAAACTCGGCCATGATCAAGACAAATACGAGCTAGGTTGTGACAATCAAAGCGCAATCCATCTTGCAAAGAATTCGACCTATCACTCCCGCACTAAGCACATTGATGTGAGGTATCACTGGATCCGGGATGTGGTGGAAGGTGGAGAGCTCGAACTCGTCAAAGTGCACATTGACCAAAATTGGTCCGACATGATGACGAAGCCGGTTCCAACAAGAAAATTTGAAGACTGCTGTGAAAGAGCCGGGTTGATGCTGAAGCCGACGCATTGAAGTCGGAGGGGGAGATTTGTTGGGCTTCCTCCTTCAATGCTGAGTCCAAGCCCATTGAGGGGTTTCCTAAAAACCCTAAACCCTAGATCTCACCTCCTCTATGTATATATTCATTAGTTGTGGGTGGAGGCTAGGTTAGAGAGAAAATTTTGAGAAAAAATTATTTGAGAGATTTGAGAGCAAAGCTTTAAGCTTTGTATTTGAGAAATCTCTAGAGAGATTTTGAGTGAAACATCTCTAGGGTAGTTTGATTATCACCAGTGTTGGAAAGGTTGTGTTAACCACCATATTGGTGTATTTTGATTCTTTGAATCCATTATTTTCATAGTGGACGTTTGATCTGGACTAGGTCCCGTGGATTTTTACTTCTTCATTGGAGAATGTTTTCCCACGTTAAAATAGTTTGTGTTCTCCCTTTCTCTCTCTCTCTCTCTCTCTCTCTCTCTCCTGTTTGTGTTTTTGTTTTCCGCTGCGTTGCTCGACCTGGTGAAGTTCAGGCCGAGGTAATTGCCAAGATCCGAGACCCAGGATCCTGTTGACTGACTTCCGCAAAAAAGCTGTTAAGCCGAGCTTAAGAGAATCGAGTTCCCAACAGTAAGTTACATGATAAATTCATAGTTTATCACGTTTTAAAGGACTAAAATCACTTTTATATTTAGTCAAAAACATGAAAACTTAAAGTTATTTGGTTAAAAAGCATTAACTTTGAATTATTGACTCATATGAATGAGTTTTTCTTATTTGGGGCAATTGAGTTGAATTGGAACATTTGAGCAATAGTTAAGCTATAGAATAACTTAAAGCGATAAATGAGAAGCAATAATTTGGTGAAAATCTCCTTGAATCTGTCTTTCGGCCAATTTTTTGTATCAAAGATAATGAATTTGGATCTTGTGTTATTCATAGAAGTTGTAGATATTTATTTTATTTTTCCAACGAAACTAAGATCACATCAATCAAATGAGTATAGCTCAAGTTATGCAAAAAAATACGCTATAAAAAGAGCATGTTTCAAAGTGTTGTTAGCGCATTTTAACGCGCTAAAACGAAGAACATGCCAATTTTTCTGCCATAGCACATTTTAACATGTTAGTACGTGAAAAATTGCTCGTTTTAACGTGCTTTAGCCCATTTTAACGCTTGTTTGTGACCCAGTTAAGACCCATTATGTGGTTTTCACCTAAAATAAATATTCCTTTACTTATTTAAGCTATTCTTCATAGGAACTATTGAGTTCTTGACATCACTAGATACTAGAGACATAGGGTCTGTTTGATTCTTGTTCTTAAAAACAGTTTTTAAAACAAAAAAAATTAAAAAATCTGTTTGGGAATAATTGTTTTGCAAAACGCTTCACAAAACAATGACTCTTTTTTTGTTTTTAAAACCAGAAAACCAAAACAACTTGAGGATGTTCTCCACCGCTGTTTGCGATTTTTTTTAGGTGGTGGCAAAATCGTAATTATCAGCATTCATTAATGGCAGTTTCGTAAATATTAGATGGCATTTTTGTAATTCTAAAATTTCATTAATGGCATTTTTGTAATTCTAAAATTTCATTAATGACATTTTTGTAAATAATTACAACTTCTTTATAACTTTAATTTAACTACACTCAAACAAGTTTTTTTATTCTCAAAATCAGTTTTTAAAATTCATATTTAAAACAGTTTTTGAAAACAAAAAAACTAAAACACTTTCAAACACACCCATAGTTTCCATCGTAAAGGTGTATTCTTCATGCTTTTGAGAGCCAGAGATGAGTCAGAGGCAAGATTACGCTGAAAACCTTAAAAATTCACCATGCCATCACACCAATGGAGTTTGGGGAAGCTTTCTTGATTTCATGTTTCTACTATGTTAGGCTAGTATTCTTGTAATTAGGGCTAGATGGAACTTAATCAAATCTTTATGTTATGAATAATCTTTAATGTTAAATTTTCTTTTTATATCGTATTAGTTTATCTTTTCTCTATGCTTTCTATATGAGTTTGATATTATAGATTGATCTAGAATGAGTGTATGATAATAGGAATATTGGTAAATGAACTTTGCATAGTAAATTCATCGTTAATTTTTATGATTCTAGGGATAGACATAGGGATTATGCAATCTTGATGATTCTTGCGTTTAATGCTTATTTTATTTGAAGAACAATGAGGAACTATATAAGATTCTTTAAAAAGAGTGAATAATTAGGATGTCAAAGGATATTGAGTCCTAATTAACTTAGGAGAATCGATTGACGATATGAAAAGGACATTAAATAAAGGGTTTTAATTTATAACATAAATGGGAGATTGAGGAAAATCGAAGTAACTCGATTTTTGCTTTATTGTTTTGTTATTTAGTTTAAATTTTTATTCAATTCTCTTAATCAATTGTCCAACTTAAACGTAAATAGTGAATTAGTGGTTGAAATTTAATCCTCATGGAAACGATACTTTTACTCATTACACTTTATCAATTGTACGACTAATGCACTTGTTGAGTCCACAACATTGCACTATCAATCTTGGTCGTTAATCAGATTTATATCTAACAGTTATAATTTATTATATATTTGAGCCGTTAGATTGAAACAAATCAATGATCAAGATTTGATATAAAACTTGTTATTTTTATACTGTACAAGAATAAGATGGTCTTGTTTCGTTATAACACAACAAAAGCCAAACACATAATTTGGACGCATCTGTGAAAAGAAATTAAATCATTATGGTAGGCTAAGACTAACTCTTGATCGAAAACAAGATATTTAAAACTGTCAAAATCAAAATACAAGATAATGTGCACATTGCTGAGCTTAATTATGTTTTTGCAGTTAGTTAAGGACACAAACATTTATGCACCTCATCTCCGGTCTAATTGGGACCAGAACCATGCATCTGTAAGGAAAATGCCACTTGAACTAAGTCAATATGCTTCAATCTATAAATTTAAATTATATATAACAACGGGTTATATGAGAGTAAAATATTGCTACTTCTGTTTTAAAATATTATCCATTTAAGATTTTTTATAATAATTAAAAAATTATTAAATTAATAAATATATTTGGGTTTAGAGAAATATAATTATGATTAACTATATTATCTTCTTACTTTTTTAGTATTTTGTCATTTAAAAAATAAGAATAAAGTTTAAAATAAAATTTTTGTTTTTAAATTTTTTGTAAATAAAATATTTCCTTCAAAATAATTAATATTTTAAAAGAAACTGAGTAAACCGTGGAAATGAATTCATAAAAGAAGTTAAATATTATTAGGTGGGTTGAATTGGATTGGGTTTGAAGCAAAAATAATATGATCAAATCCATTCGGTTTGATCATTTAATTATCCTGGACATTTTTTTTTTAAATCTGATACAACCCAATTTTATTCGGTTTGAATTGTATCGATTTTCGATTTTCGAAAAATTTAAAATTTCAGCCATACAAATCACTAATTATATCAAAATAAATTAAAGTTATTCAAAATTACAAACCACTAAAAAATTTAAGTCTTCAAACTAAAACAAGTCTTAAAACTCATTAAGAGTTAAAATAGATTAATAGAAAATAAAAACTAAAACAAGATAGTTTGCTATCAATATCATCAAAAATTTCAAGCCTACAAAACAACAAGATTCTAAGTTACTATATTTCAAAAATAATAAATACATAATATATTAGATCAGTTTTCACCAACTAAATCAAAAATCGATCAAATTCAATTAAAATATACAAGTGCTTTTTTTTTTTTTTTGAATTAATTTGATTATTAATTTTTCGGTCTGATCACCACGGTTATAATCGTACTGAAAGAGTTGTATGCTAGTTAATTAATATTCATAATAAAATGATCACGACTCACGAGTATTCCCATATGCACATATATAGTTCATACAGTATAGTATGCAAGGCACAACCTATTTTTTCGTAAATAAAAAATCAATCATAAAATGTTAACAAAACTAATTTACTTAATTCCTTTTCAATACAAACAAACGTCCTTTAATCCTTGTCTTACCAAACTTATATTTGATTTTGTTTAAAAAAGAAAAGAAAAAGGAAAGCCCAATACTGAAAACTCCCAATCCCAACGCACGTGCCAAAAAAGCGAAGAACACGTGTGAGCCATTCACGTTCAAAAGCCATGTCGTCAAGGCCTCCATGTACTGGCCCACACCACCGGTTGGTCCTTCCACGACAAGAATATTCCGGCGTCGGAGCACTGTGCCATAGACCAACCCTCCTTGTACCTCCGCAACAGCGCCCTAACATCGTCACAAACCTCATCGCTGAACGGCACAGTATTGAACCCGCTTCCATGCAGACGCTGCGACCAACGCGCCGCCGTCTCCCGCCGCTCAACGGACAAAGAAGGAGAGCAAGCCACCAAGTCAACGATGGCTCTCCCCGCCGCACGTTCAAGCATCAAACGCTCGCTGCTCGTCCTCGCAAAGCTCTCATCCAATGCCTCAAAGTAAACCCTAAACCATCTCAAGCATTCTTCGAACCCTTTCACAAACTCAAACCCATCGAAACCAACATCAAGATCAGCTTCCTCTTCAACAACGGTCAAAACCCTAGGCTGCAACCTCCTAAAAGAAGATATCAACACGTCACGGTTGTTATCAACGGCCGTAACAGAATGCAAAGCGTTCACACAGTTAATAGCCAAAGCCTCGTCGTCGTTGATATCTAAATCTTCAAAGTTGAAGTTAGAAAGATCACCAGAATGGTGAATGAGATTGAATTTGAAAGGAACACCCATAAGCCTAGCGAATTTCTCCATTCTTGTACCTATTTCCTTCATGACCTTCTGAACCGCCGCGATTGGGTGACCGGCTCTGCCGGTCATCACGGTGGTTAACTTTAAGTGCGGTGTTTCGTCGCTGCGAGTGGCCAATGCTTCGAGTAAGGTTGGCCATTGGGTGCAATACGTGTTGCTTATATCAACTATGTGTAAATTTGGGTTACCTTCTAAGGCTTCTAAGATGGCACCATTGGAAGCGACATGGCCGAAGGTTGTCCAGGGACTAACCTCTTGGAACTTCAACAACATCTTCCTTGTTGATTCGAAGGAGCATGTTTTGTCGGATGCCGAAGCTAAGGTTCGGTAGTTTCGGTCTCCTTCATCGGTCATGCGGCTGAACAAGGCTCGGAGGAAGTGAGAGGCGAGCTTTTGATCTGTGTCACCGTACGGTGAGCTTAGCTCGTTGAGCATCCACATCAGTTGTTGGATTCGTGTGCTGTTCTTGTCGGCAATGGCGCGTGCGGTTTCGAGGAGGATATTGGATGCCCACTTGTTGCCGGAATATTCCAAGTTGAAGTCAAGGATGGGTGAGAAGGAGTAATCAGTGGTGGTGGTAGGGGTGGTGCTTGTGGTTGTGGTTGTGTTAAAGGCGGTGGTGAATGCGTTGTGTGGCTGATCATAAGGGTAGTAGTGTTTGGAAGAAGAGGATGATAAGTCTTCTTCATCCATGTAAAAGTTAAAGCATTCTTCGTCTTCTTTCTGGTAATTATAATGATGATAGTTTTGTCTGGAGGATCTAGAGCTGCTAGATGTTCTGCTGGTGGTGGAGTTGAGAGATGGATCAGGTTGATTTTGATTTTGAAAACTGACTAGTTTAAACAAGGTATCCATTTTATCTCACATCAATAAACTGTACTAGTTAGTGTGAGTCTTGTTACTTGCTTCTCAGCACAAGCAAATATATGGCACTAGTGACGTGTTTTTAACAGTGGGAATTGGGGTACTATTCAACAATGATTAGATGTTGTTGTTCAATTTGGATAGATTCTACTTACCTTACAAGAATAGGTTAATTTTTATAAAAAAAAAAAAAAATAGATGGTGAATGGTGAAGGGTTGTAGGTGTAGCCGACGCCTTAGATAGAAACAAAATTCAACCAACTTGATTAATTTAGTAGATTACTCCACTACCTTAATTATGTTTAATCAATTTTTAAATATGTAAAATGACATTCATATATATATTAAATAAATGACATGCAACTCATTTGGGGGGAAGTGCATTTTATATATGCTACCGTAGCAGTTCTAGAATAATTTCATTTCCATTCCTTTTTGTGTAATCGATGTTTGCGGGGAATGAAAGTGGGGTTGGGTTCCTTTTCTAGGTTATTCTTTTTTATTGGGAGGGGGGCTTCTTTATTAAAATGGCTATGGAGAGGAGTGATTGTCTGAGATAAGTTTCTCAGTCAATATATAACTTGAAAAATATTGTAGGGTCGTGGCCTAGCTAGCTCATGCTTAGAATATTATTCTCTCTGACGAAAGATGAAAAATAAGAAAGCATATTTGGATCCATTTTTTTTTTTTAAACTAAAAGCTACATTTAGCTTTTTAATTAAAGCTAAAAAAAGTTTTTTTAAACAAGTTAAAAGTTTTTTTTTTTTTTTGTTGATTATATAAAATTTTTAGTTTAAAAGTATATATTTCGAAAAAAGTCTTTCTCTATCTATCTTTATGGCTCTTTATTTAAAAAAGAGTAAATACCATTTTTGGTCCTCAGCAAATTTCACGATTCCCGCTTTAGTCCCTAGCAAATAAAAAGACCCATTGTGGTCCCTAAGAAATTCAAAATGGACCCATTTAGTTGAAATCGTGGTCCTTCACAAATTCAAAAAAGACCCATATTAGTCCCTAAAAGGACTAAAATGGGTCCATTTTGAATTTCTTAGAGACCACGATGGGCCTATTTATTTGCTAGGGACTAAAGCGGGAATCGTGAAATTTGCTGAGGACCAAAAAAAGTATTTACTCTTTAAAAAAATAGCACACAATTCAAGAAAAATTGATAATAGCTTAAAAAAAGCTTCTCCAATGAGTATTTGGTTTTTTCTTTATTATAATTTTTTTTGTATTATAAAAATTTTTCTTAAAATTTATTTGGCCTAACTTCTACTCATAAGGAATTAGGGGTGTTCGCGGTCTGGATTGGATCGATTTTGGAAGCAAAACTCATCCGATCCAATCCGTTCGGTTTGATCATGTAATCATCCATTCGGTTTAGATTTTTTTTCAAATCCGATCCGATCCAATCCAATTTTTTTCGGTTTGGATTGGATCGGTTTTCGGTTTTTTGAGTATCCTAAAATTAGTTTCATGATTATTGTGCAAATAACATCTTTTGTATATATTGATTTTGTAAAAAAAAATAAATTTGAAATACAAAAATATCAGTAAACAATTCTATAGTTGATGAGACGTGACTAAGTTTTTTCTTGGGTTTAGTTGACGAGTTAATGCGTCTTGAGTTTAGAAATTTTTGGGCTATGATTGGAGAAATAACAAGTAGGTAGAGGATAATTAATATATTGGATCGGTTTGGATTGGATCGGTTTTCATCAACCCATCCGAAATCTGATCCAATCCAATTAAAATTTGCGATTTTTTTTCGGTTTTCACTTTTTCGGTTTTCGGTTTATTCGGTTATCGGTTTTTCGGTTCGATTTTCGCGGTTTGAATCGGTTTGGATCGGTTGATGAACACCCCTATAAGGAATAGAGAAATTAGAAATAAAAGGATTCAAACATGTAGGAGTAGCTTTTCATTCTTTTAGAAATAAGTAATTAATAAATAAATAAAAAACTCAATAGATAGAAAATGAATTTTACATGTTCTTGATGAGTGGGAGCAGGCGTGCCCAACTGCCAATTGGTGTTAGAGGGGGGAGAGAGAGAAAGAGAAAGAGAGTACTAAAAGCTGCCGGCGTGAGTCATCATCATCAAACCCACTACCATCTTATAGCAGTCACAACCCACTCACGTTTCCTGCATCCTAGTCGCTCTCCAAACACTGTCAAAATTCCAACCAACTTTTTTTCCTTTTCCATTGTTATACACATGTAAATAATAGACTCTTATTATAAACGTACTTATACTTAAAAAAGTAATTTAAGAGTTTACTTTTACAAAAACCCACGCATCATTATGTGATAAAACAATGTACGTTGTATTCTAATACCAAAATGTACACGTTCTCCAAGTGCTAGGACATGCCTTAATTATTGCTTTTTCTCCATTCATATTTGATGCCGATGGTTTATAAGAACCCATTTTCAACCCCTCAAACCTCGGCTAGCAACAAAAACTATAGGCTATTGCTTTGAATTTTGTATCCCAAGGCAACCCAACCATTGATCTCTTCTCACCTTTGTTATTACCCCAAAATGTTTATATCCCACTTGACCTGCAGCTGTTTTATGTAAATTCTCCTAAAACCAATGTCATCCATTTCCCATATATATGGTTCCTGCCAAATTATGTGCTTAGTAAGTGTCTTTTCAACCCAAAATGTTAAGGTATTAGATAATAATTTTTTTAATGATTTATATTATTTTCTAACACATTCTCTCATGCAAGAGTTTTTTGGGCTTGAAGCGTGAATACGACACAAGTCCATTGTTGGTCTGCCCCTTGTACTGCACAAGCCCATTTTTTTGGTTTGTCTTGTATTTTTCTTAATTTCACTTGAAAGTGGAGGCAATGAGAATCGAACTTGTGACTTCGTGGTCCCTGAAACAATACCATGATAAGTGTCACTTCAACCCAAAACCACTTTAAAATATTAGGTGATGACTTTTTTAATAATTTATATTATTATTTAACATTTCCTATTGGTCGAACTCACTCTACATCCACCTCAATTAATATTAGAATAAATATTTTCCTTTGTCTCATATTATCCTTCGTTACAATTACAAATTGACGTCCCAATTCTTTTAATTAGTTTTTCTTGATCATGCCAATTATTGATTAATGAGATTAGGAGATTTTGATTGGAAAAGTTAGGTGCGTCTTTGTTTCCCTTCATCAATCATTAGGCAAAATTCATGTTTGAACTCTTTGTCCCCATGTTTTTGAAGTGGGCCTTGAAGTTGAATCCAATTTTTTTTTTTTTTTTTTTTTTATTAATCACAGACAGGATGAGACAGGTTATTAGCCATACTGAAATTCATGGCCTTTCATCTTGCTTTTCTTGTTCTGCTTTTTCCATCTTCTTTTTTCTTTTGCTTCCCATGTTTCGTGGTGGGTGAGGCTGAAAGGGATCTATGGTTTGCTTTGATATTCAACTTTAAGAGTACAGAAGAGTTCCAAATTTGCACCCATCAGTAGAACTATATTTTAGATATAGCTGATGGATTTAACTAAAAATATTAAAGTTCAGTCTGTTTTCTTCGGTTTCAATCAATAAATAAATAAAAGTAAACAAGACATTGACGTTCTCAGCTTTGGTCACTTTTTTCTTTTTCTTTTTCCTTCTTGAGGTGAGCCCCATATCCCATTTTATTCAAAGTTGAAAGCTATTTATTTTATAAGAAAGGATATATAGTTGAAGTGTCAGTGCCTCAATTGCCTTCATTTGGACCGTAGCCCTATATGCAAGCACTTTTACCGCATCCATAATAATAAACCTCAATGTGATGTGCCATTTTAAAAAATCTTTATGACTCTTAACATTCAACCTAATCTCCTAAACAATTGATTCTCCAATATGGTTTGTTTTCTTTCACTACTTCCCCGTGTCCTTTTGTCTATTCTCTCTACATTGTGCACAAAATCATCATTTTAGAAGTTCTTGATGTTCTAAACTCTTAACTGTCTAACCCCAAATCTGATGCCAAATTTGGCCATGATAAAGTCCATGCACAAAACCATTATATTCTATTTTTTCATTTGTAATTATAACACTATAAAAAAGAAAAAGAAAGCTACTAGGCTAGCTGAGATGAAATGCTCTTGTGAAAGACAACATTGGCAGAATCTAGTATTCACGCCAGACAAGAGTAGGAATAAAAAAAAAAAAAAAAAAATCTCTGAAGACATATATTGATTGTATTGGTAACGCCCCAGAAAGTGAGGAGCAGACTGTGTTTAAAATATGGGAGTGGATTCTCTCGTGTGGAAAAATGATCATGTTATTTGATCACAATCACTCATTTAAAAATTATACATTTTTTTCTCTCTTATCTCATCATCAATGAATGGTTGTGATCAAATAACATGACCACTTTTCCACATGAGAGGATCCCCTCCCTTAAAATATAGACATCCTTGTAAACTTTAATCTCAGCTAAGGAACCAATCAAGATGAAAATTTTCTAATACTATTTGTGAAGCCATTCCATTAATTAAATTCAGAAGCAAATTATGAAATTCTGACAAGCCAGCAACAGAACATGATTGCAATCTGTGATTTCCAGTGGAGAGGGTCAGAGCGAAGGAGAACACCCTTGGGACAAAATGATTCTTTGTGAGGCCAATACATTCTCAATAATTATATACACTTATTTGTACAGATCCTGACAGAAAAAAAAAAATTGTGGAAATTTTTTCATTCGTGTGTCATTTTCTTCAATTCAAAGATATTTGTTACAAGCAACCTCGAATAGTTTTCTTCACAAATGTTATTAGATTGGGGTACTTACGATTTAGAAAAATCTTTAAATTTGTTTCGGCCAGCCTACACAAAGACTTGCAAATGAATGGTTAAGTTTTATACATTGAACAGACCACTGCTGGAGAACGAAGAAGGAGAAATGCTGTTCAACAGACTTAACTATGTCCCGAAAATGAGGTAAAAGAATTACATGCTCACCTTTTTTTCTGTTTGCTTTTTCAATTTTTCTATCTGTAAATTATTTCCATTTTCTCTGCACTATTACATGATCATTTGTTTATGTGGTGAGTGGTGACTATGCTTGATTTGAGTTTCACTAGAGTTTAAAGCTATTGAATTTAATTAATTAAGTGGCCAACTAGATATGCAATATCTATATTATGATGTGTATTAACATGGCAAAAGCTTTTTGTTGGAACATGATAAGAAACAGGAAGTGAAAATATTGGTTTCATATTCAAAAAGTGTCAGGATACAATACGAAGCATCGACTCCGACACGACGTTTTCGATACGTTTCCAATATGTTTTCGATACGACTATAAATTCATCGATACTATACAATATGTTTCCGATACGTATCTGATACGTTGAAAACAAATTCAAAATATGGGTGCTTCATAGCGTAGAGATGATGCATCCGGTTGAAATGCACGGAGAGGAAGGACACTACATACGTAATAGAGGCAAACTTTTGAATGCATCCAGTACACAAGCAAAGCTTTGGTGCTACCTATGCATGGTGCATCGGTTCCATAAAAGCAAAAAAGTTGGGATAAAGATGAAATAAAAATAAAAATTTAAATTTAAATGAGAAGAAAATTTACTTTTTATAGAAAAAAGATGTACCCAAATGGATACATCCAGCGTTTGGTAGAGAAAAAAAATTTTTATCTGAAAATCTCGATTTTCAAAAATATAATTTTTACATTCAGTTTAGGATAATATTCAATAATTTAAAATTTTAAAAAATTCCTTGTACCAAACGCTTCTTCCCAAGTACCCAGATTGCGGTAAACTGCACAATTCAAACAGTTTGACTCAAAATCTGGCTTATTTATATCTTCCCTTATATCACTAATTACAATGTAGGCTGATGTTTTTAATTTATCTGCTTTCCAATTTATTTATTTTTCTTTTAAATCCATTTACTGAGGTTCTTTGATTAAAAAAAATCAGCCGTAAAAATTCAATTTACTTTAAACAAAAGTTAGCCTAAAACCCTCTTGAGCCTTATGAATTAATGTTTGTTTTTAATTGATTATTATTATTTTAATAAATTAGCATCTAGGTAAAAGGTTAATTTAATATCTCAATAATAAGAAATGAAATTAATCTAATTCCAAATAAATAATTTTAATATCATTTTTCATTATTCAGAAATTAAATTGATATTAATTATCGTTTAAGGACCAAAATGACGTTAACATAATCTTTCAAAGACCAAAATGACAATTTATATTTACAAAAAAAAAAAAAATGACAATTTATCTTATTGGTTTAGTGGATGACGTCACTTTACTTTTTCAACAATAGAAAGATTACCTTATAATAATCAAGAGAGTTTTCCCAGTTAGATAACAAAATAAAAAATAAAAAATAATCTTCTGCTATAAAAAATTATCAAAAATAAAATAAAATCAAACCAGTTAGACTGTGAATGGGCCTAATAAGCCGTAGCCCTAGGAAAGCCCAATTATCTTCTGCTACCAGTGCTTCCTGAAGCAACTGCGAAAGTGAATGAAACAGCTAAATGAACAATGGCAGAAGGAGAACCCAGCCATGGCTGCTGCAGCAGCAGCAGTGGTGAAGAAGACGGTGATGCGGCATGGAGGGCAGCCATCGATTCTGTCGCCGGAACCACCGCCTACATCTCTTCCTTCATGAATGGCCTTTCCGCTACCAAACATAGTGACCCAAATGAGCACCGTGATGGTGATGATGATGGTGATCGACACCACAAACCCAAGACCCAACAGATTAAGCACTACCAACTCAAGGTCTCCTTCTAAATTCATCATTTTTTCTGCTTATAAGTTCGTGTTCGTGTGTGTGTTTGCTGAAGTTGATAATTAAGATTAAAAAAAAAAAATTAAATTATGTTAGGAATTGGCCCTTTACTCTAATTAGCTACGCCCACATAATAAAATACAGATTTTGTTACAAAGTTCCCATTTTTTTGTCAGTGGAATTAAATTTAGGTTTGTGGGTGGTTCACATTCTGAACATCTAGCATGCTTTGTTGCAGTTGCAGCACCTTTTATTTTTTTATTTTCTGTTCCAAATCATTGTTCATCATTACAAGTGTTGCTTGGACTTTTGCTATGGAATACTGATCAGTTTGTATTATGTGCTGTACCCCTTGTCCCTATCCCTTTTTCCTGGTCTGTCGATTTGATGATTTATACCGTGGATGTTCTATGACAGGCACAAAAGCTTCTGAATGACATAATGGAAAATACAATAGAGATAGTGAAAGAACCTTTCCTCGTCCTGGATGAGGATACCAACATCAATGAATGCGGCATTCGCTTGTTTAAACATGCTCAACCGGGAATAGTGTTTGATCATGTGGGTAAGTGTACCTTGTGTAGTACATTCTTGGCTTAAGATCAGTTGCAATTGTTTGCTATGTCTATAAATGGTTGATTTTAGATTTTGGATTGTTTTGCTAGTTCCTATTTTGCTTTAGTCAGTTGGCTTTATTGTAGTGTTGCTGGCAGTAGGTCACACCAATCACCAGTGTTCTTGACATGCATATAAAAACTTCTCTGAAATATGCAAAGGCTGCACTGGGTAAAAGCAGCTACTGGTGCTGGTAGCAAAAGTACTACTTTTTCAGAATAGTGCACACGCACCCAGTGCCCATTGTTAAGAAGTGGAATCCAGATCAGCATCCCATGCATCTCTTTTTCCAATCTGCAATCTTTTGTTTTTTTATTGACATCAAAATTCAGAAGATTATAGTTATTTTACATTGCTTTGTGATACTGCATGTCAATAATCTATTTACTACTCACTAGCCACAGAGCAGCATGCCTGGGGTCTCTGCCATAACTTATGGCTCTTTGGTCCGGCAGAGCTGGTTGACCAAATGAACCACAATACTGGTCCAGGTTACCAAATGGACTGTATAATTAGGTAAGTAGAAGAAACAGGTTTGTAGAAAAACCATTTAAGTTGAGTAAAGTTGTAACCAACTGGTTTACTGGTTTTGATATGTTCTCACAAATTATTGGTTTGAGGATATAAACACAACCTTGATGGTTGGATTCAATGCAACATCTTGCCATGCAGCTTTTATATTTTACATTTACACAATCTGGTTCCATTCAATGAGTTACTTGATCGAAATTCAAAATATTTTCTTTTCTTCCTTTCAATTTAAATATAAATAAAATACTATGTAAGGGGTTAAAAAAATTATACACTTTATGATTTATCTTGAGATATTACCAAATTGGATTTGTATGTGTGGCTTAACCATTTAGGCTTATATGTACATGGCTGCAGATGAACCCCAACAACCAAGGAAACGACCTAGAATACTTCCTGGAGGAGATATTAATGAGAAATCAAAGAAGGTCTAATAGTTATTTACTCTAAGATATCTTTGTGCATGTTGTTTCTTTATCGTATATATATATATTGTCAGTTATTATCTTAACGACTATATGCGACCTCAACAGTTTAAAAGACGGATTCAATCTGTTGCTGTTGATGGGAAAGATTTAATGGCTGCAGCAAATGATGCATGCAAGAAGTCATTGGCTAGACTTGAAGCTAAAGTTGCAGCAGCAAAAGCTTCAGCTAAGAGAGAGGAAGAGAGAGTTGAAAATTTGAAAAAGATTAGGGGAGAGAGGTGGCTACCTTCCATGGCCAAGGAGATGCACGTTAAATATCAACACTAACATTGTCTTCCGAATATCATCTCGATGCTAGTTTTATGTGTACCCGGTGATTAGTTCTTCTGATTTGTTAGTGGAGCTTGTTGTACACCAAAAAAATGAAGTTATAGAAGTATAAATTAGTTGTGAAGAACGTTGTTTTTTTTTAATCTTTTAAATCTTTTAAAATCTTGTTGGCCAAGGAGAGATTAGCCACCTTGCCTTTGGAATTCAGCTCTAGAGTTAGCACTTCATTGAAATTAATCGCATATCGAGGTAGGGTGATACTAATCCCTCACCAAAGTTTAGAGTGTAAAGTTACTTTTTTTGAAAAGTCTTTCCAAGAATTTAACGTGCAACCTAATACTTGAGGGCTGAGGCACTTTCCTCTGTCAATCGTGCCACCCTTTGGGATTTTGTGAAGAATTTTTATTTACTATTTGTTTTCAACACTTTTTAGAAATTGAAATTTCTGAACACATAAATCAGTTGCTATCTATAAAGACCAAGGCACCTTTTTTTTTTTTAATTATTAACGAGGACCAAGGCACAATGTTGTTTTCACTATTTCCATGTACGAATATTTGAAAACACAAAATAAAATAAGATAATATGTTCATATTTATTAATAAAAACAATATTTTCACAAACTAGGCCTGTTTGATTGTGTTCTGATTTTTTTGTTCTTAAACTTGTTTTGTAAAATAGTTATGGAAACAGTTGTTTTCTATACTTTTTTCTTTTTGAAAGTTAAAAACAAAAACAAAAAACAAAAACAAGAGACATGTTCTCTAAATTTGATTTTAAAAATAAAAAAACAATTATAATTTTTAAAATATTTTTTACAAAACAGGTCTTGCTAAATGAGTTTTTTAATTTTTTTGTTCTGAAAGCTAAAAAACTATTTTGCAGAAATCAAACTGACTCTAAATGTATCCTTAATTTCTTCTCGTAGAAAAAGGGTTCCCTCACAAGTTTGTTTTAGAGCTCCGAGGGGACATCCAACGGTGGGCTTGGGGTTTTTTTGGGGTCCATTGATGATTTTTTTCAAAAGCTAAGTGAGTATCTGTACTAGTTGGAAATCAAATCAAACATTAATTGCTTATTTAGGTGAGTGTCATTATAACAAGTCATTCAAAAAGTGATTCAGGAAAAAAGAGTTTTGTTTAAGTGTGATTTAGGATTTATGTAAAGGAAAATATAATTTATAAAAAGTAAAAAGCATTAATATCTTGAAAATATTAAAAGTATTTAATATTTTCTTTCTAAATAATTAGGATGATTTGATGAATAATAATAGACGTTATTTTCATTCTTTAATAAAGTTAACAAAACACAAACTTCAATAATAAGAAAAATATATATAATTTTACTATCAACTCTATTTATTATCATTTATTTTAGACATTTTCCAACGCGTGTCTGGTTAAGAAAAAAATCGAAAGTATTGAATGCAAAATAAAATAGTTATTATCATATCACAATCACAAAAGACGTTTTAATACTTTTTTTTCTCAAGTAAGGCAAGCTTATGTTTTCAATTATTAAATTTTATAATATATATTACTTTTTTTGGTAGAATAACATCATTATCTAATTGCACATGAAATTTGATATTATTAATATTTATGAAAAATAATTAAATAAAATTTATATAAGGAAAAAAAATACAAACGATAATGAATTGAATTAATAATGAAGTCAACTTTCCTCTTTTACTAAAAAAATATTAAATTATCTCATTATAAAAAATTAAATTTCAGTTTCTTTTTTTTCTTCTCATTGAAGTAGTTAAAATATCCAACAAAAGGAAGATCATGAGCCAATATAATAATAACGTAAAATTCATTATTAAAGATTTACAAAGATTTTTATTCTTATTGACATAATGATCAGCATTAGGTGTTTGACAGTTCACATTTTAAAAAAAAGAGTGATTGAAATGAATTATAATTATACAATGAGAAACTGAGAGTTTATAAACTCTTATGATTTGGTAATTCCATCTCTCATTCACCAAATCAAGTACATTATGGGTAACTGGCCCAGTACCAACCTTGCCCAGACCAACTTCCAAAATACAACGTTGAATAAGATAAAAAGCTTAGGAAGCATCGTGGAAGCAACGGTCTATTTTATCTGCTGCGAGTTCCCAAAGCAACCATCCTGAATTCCCCTTATTATTATTATTGTGTTTCCTTTTCTCAGCGTTGCAATATTGCTCAAAAGTATGGCACATTTGTTAGCAATTGTGGTGGAAGGTGTTGCTGGCTTTGTCAAAACGCTTTGGGCTTTGCAAGAGCGACGATGGTCTCACATTTTCGACATTGTGACCTCTGCTGCGGTGTCCATAACCACGACATTTGTGCTCTGCTTTTTTTCCATTCGTAATAATAGGCAAAGACTAGGTGATATGTTCTTTGCCTCTTTCTGATGTAATATTGAAACTATTCTCGGATATTCAATAACTACATGTTTCGCTTCTTTATCATATTCTGCAATTTGATATCTTCGCTGCTGCTACATAATATCACGCTAAAGAAGAATTAGCCCTTGTTTTACCCATCACATTAGTAAGCTAACACTGTATTATGATTGCCTAAATTAGGTCCCTAGACCCTAGCTTTTAATTAAGCCTGTTTTGGGTTAATACAGATTTAGACGCTTTTTTTTTTTTTTAACTGTGTTCTTTAGTCCACGGCAACAATGGATTAGAGGCAGAAGATGGTGAAATTCATATTCGTAACTGTCATCATCAAATAACATAAGGTTCAAAAGTATGGGATGAATTATTATGGAAGCGTTTTTGTTGATCCATCTGCCATTTGCTAGGGTGATATACTGGTGCGTACACATATATATATATATATATATATATATATATATATATATATATATATATATTTTTTTTCTGGATATAGAGAAGAAAGCATAAAACTACCAACCGGTTCAAACTACCAACCCCAGCATTTTTCCAAACTAATTAGTCAAATACCGGCTTAGTTTGTTACGCTTCATGTACTGTTTGGTTCGAGAGAAAAATTTTTTTTACTAGGGAAATGTAATTGATAGGAAAATGGTTGAAAAATGAGTTTGATAGGAAAATGTAAAAAAAGTTGTTTGGTTGACCCAAATATTACCAGAAAAATTTATTTAAATATGCAAAATCTATGTTCGGGAGAAACTTTGCACCTGTTTTTTCACTTCCCCAGTCATCTCACAATATCACATCTCAAGTGGTATTCTGTAACAGTGAATTTCATCCAAAAATCAACACAAAAGTCATTTTCCCATCTATCCTATTTGTCTGGTATTTCTTGAAAAAACCTAAACCAAACTGGTATTTTTCAATATCCACCTACACTTTCCCATCGTTCCTAAAATAAACCTTTGACCAAACACTGCCTCAGTGTTCACTAAAGACAGGAGAGTTTTGTTGTCTTTTGTGGTCTTACTCGCCCGCTCCCATTAATCGAGTAATCGGTGGAGGAAAAAAAAAACAGGGTTTAGAAAACAGCAGGCATGAAGTATGAACCCTGATATTTTGCGTAATTGTTTTCTTCAAATCATGTCTACTTTTTAACAGTTTACTCTCAGTGAAACATCCTCTCTCTCATCATTTTTGCCCTCCTTTTCTTTTGCCTCACAATTGATTCCGCATTTACTGGCTACACTCCTCTCTTTAACAAAAGGCGAAACGAAGTTCGCTCTGTGCTCATCCTCTCTGTTCAAACTTGAACACGACTAGCCAAGAACCTAGAAAGTAAAAAGGTTCACCAATTCTGTAAGTTCCCTAAACTCAAGATCTCCTTGAAAGGTAGCTTCTCATACATTACATGCATTTTGAATCAATAGCCTGTCAACTTTCCCAAGTATAACTCCTTGTTCTCTTGTTAGTTCAAAGATGTGGCTTTCTACACACAATTTCTCGATTGTCGAAGTCAGCCAACGTTTATTAATTATGAAGAATCATTTGCTGGGTTACTTTTGGCATCTCAAAACGGTTTTATATACCATTCGCTATTGACACACAAATGTCAAGGACAGGGATTCCTAGCATCATTTCTAATTACTGTTACGCATTACATAGGATAGCAAACAAATTTTCACAAGCACTATACAATTCCATAACAACCAATAATTGACATAAAGATACAAATCAGACACACTAAATCCTTTCTTCCTATGTGCTATATACCAATCAGCACCAACTCCTAGTCCTTCCTCATGGCTCCACCGATTTATTTAGTCTTGAAGCAGATCTGCAGGAAACGATGATTTCCTTGCTGCTGGAGAGAGATTTTTTTTGTGCCAAAAACTATATTACACACAATATAAATAGGGAAAAAGTATTCTCATGCTATATTGATAAATTTTCACTTCTATACACCCTTCGATAATTGTGTCATCTTTTTTTTTTTCTTTTCTTTTTTCAGTTGGTGGAGCCCACAAATTTGTCTCTATGACATGGGATAACTTATTTCCTTTAACATGAAATTAATAAAACCCATATAAATACTACAAGAAAGGCCCCTTCAAGGCAAACAAAAAAAAGGCCCTTAAAAAGCAAAGTCAGGCCTGCAGGTATCCATTCTCCTCCAAGTAGGATATCACTATTTCTGCCATGTCATTAGGAGACTTACAGTCACCTCCTTTCTGTTGTAATACGATCTGCAAGATAAAGAGGGCTCAATTAAATGGAAAACAGAAGAACAACTACAAAGAATCCGGACACGAAAGTTCAATAGTAATTTCAAAGGAAAAGCTACAGACTGGGTTACTATGAAATCTGGTTTATATTGTAAGCCCATATCCCTCCATTTAAGATCAGAGATAGCAAAGAAAAGGAAAAAATTAAATAAAAATGAAATGGAATAATATACCCAGTCCAGAAACAACAGTTTTTCCCTGAGTTGGATCCCACACAAAGAGAACTAAAATCTTTCAACTATAGGTCAGTATTGTTGAGATATATAGTCCCACATTGGTTGTATGAGCAACTAACGTGGAGTTTATAAGGCCTTGAGCACTCCCACCCTTTGAGCTAGCTTTTGGGTTGGTGTATCCCAAGGTTCTTTATATGGTATCAGAGCTTGAGTGACTATAAGATCATGAGTTCGATCCTCACGACCCCCACTTTCAAGTGGAATTAAAATAAAAAGCACAAAAAGGTAAACCAAAAATTGGGCCTGTGCAATTCCACGCTTCTAGCCCAAAGGGCTCTTGCGTGAGTGGGCGTGTTGAGATATATAGTCTCACATTGGTTGTATGAGCAACTAATCTGGAGTTTATAAGGTCTTGAGCACTCTCACCCTTTGAGCTAGCTTTTGGGATGGTGTATCCCAAGGTTCTTTACAAGTATGGTATCTATTTACTATTCAGTAATAATATTTGCACACCAACATTTTCACACCATTTTTACACTGGTTAATGATGAATTGGTTATAGGTTAACAAGGTGCGTAGATTAGTTAATGGACTAATAACCTCTTACCAGCTTATCAGTAACAGATTCTTTTTTAATCAAAGTATATAACTTGTTAGCCAATAATTGAGATAAATGTTCCAATAATTGAGACATTGTTAACCGGGGTAAAAATAGTGTGCAAGAATAATTTTCATTTGCTATTCTATTCCACTATAACATTACTAACATTCACAGCGCCACAAATACTTACCTCACAACTATACGGAGGTTCATATGGATCATTTATACCAGTGAAATCTGCAGAATACCAAATAAATAATACAATCCCATTAGCAGAACTGATATTCCATGATGTCGAACGCACATAAAGTAGGCTAAACACAAAATTACGATTTAAGAGAGAAACTCTTTTGTTCTTGAGTATGATTATCAAAATAATAAAATGTTCAACAATCATGAATAGGAGTCTAAACACCCTTTTACTTAATATTAAAATGCAATTAAAACAAAAAAACATAAAATTACAAAACTGTCACTGAGAAAAATAAAAGGCCTAAAAACCCAAAAACAATGCACACACGATTCTAAGCCAGCTCTTGGTGCATCACTCCACAATGTTGATAAGAAAGAAGAAAAATAAGCACGATACATATGGCTAACTGGCTGGTAATATAGTTAAATAACAAATGCACCAGTACCTGATTATTGCACAATATGGGTACATCATACCAAAATTAAACTGCAAGCAGTAATGTGAAAATTTATACCAGGATACCTTTGATTTTTCCAGCTCGAGCAAGCTTATAGAGTCCCTTTGGATCCCTAGCTTCACACACATGTAGCGGCACATCTATGAAAACCTACAACATGTGAGCGTTATAATAGCCATCAAGAACCTCTTGTTCAATAATCATAAACGACCCTAATAGCAGATGCCAAACCACCTGCATTATTTTTGGATCACCACAATAAGAATATACCTCAACAAAATCTCCTTTTGGCAGTAGTGCTCTGCAAGCATCTCTATCCTTTCGGTAGGGTGATATTAAACTAGCAATGCATATAACACCCGCATCGGCAAAGAGTTTTGCCACCTCACCTGAAAGTTTTTAAATCATGATGTAGACTACTAATAAAATAATACAATATAACTGGAAGATACAGGGGATAGCTTTTACGAAGCCACACAAAAGAAATATAAATATGCGCATATTATAGAAAGTAGAAACTCACCAACCCTTCTAATGTTTTCTGAACGATCTTCTGCTCTAAAACTAAGATCACGGTTTAGACCATGCCGAATATTGTCACCATCAAGGATGTAAGACAGTTTTCCTCTGGAGTGCAAGCTTCGACTCAAAGCACATGCAAGAGTGCTTTTACCTAAAGTCAGTAATGACTACTGAGAGAGAGAGAGGGAGAGAGGGAGGGAGGGAGTAATGGCATGAAGAAGAATGAAAAGTAATAGTATATCCTGACATCTGAAGAAACTAAAAAATAAGCTTTCATCTCCTTCATTGTAGAATTATATTTGATAGCAAACATAAATTGCTTCAGCCAATGTCACGCTACAATTTACACATTTTCAAGATATTATTACAAACATTTGTTAACTTGTTCAGATTTTAATCTTCATATTATCACCTAGAGAATGAATTAAAAACAGCTGCTCATTGGCAATCTAGCTGCTGATAGTTGTACATAATGTTGAATCAGAGCTAAGCAACAGTAAGCATAGTTTGACAAGGATATAACTTATATTATACTTTAAATTATGTAATTTACAGCATTGACAAGCAAAGAAAATTCATTTTGACTGACTGGGTAGCTGATCAAGGGCCAAAACAAGTTTAGCTTTGATTTCACATAAACAAGTATGAACTAAAGCTGAGCTTGAACCACAAATACATCCTCCATATAGGGGATAAAATTAATTCATCTGATGGAAAAAAATATTAGAAGTATGTGTTATAGGATTGTAAACGCCTATTATGGATCTATCTTAGTTTTGAATCTTGACCATTTAGTATTTTATACAATCTCACATGCATATGTCAAGTTCAGTTAAAAACAAAAGTCTAAGTCCGCAGCAATGTTACTATATACTATATAATAGTAAAATTTTGAAGAGTAATTTGTTTCTCTTTCATGACTTTCGTGTATCATTTATCAGGCAAAAAATTATGAAATGTGGTTACAAATAGATCAAAGAAAAGAAACAGAGAATTGATACTTTCGAACCATGACCTTTCTGTCACACAAGAGAGGCTTTTCCGCTATTCCATACTCGCCCTCTTTGTAAGACAACAGACAACATTAAATCAAAAGTCATATAATGCCAGAACTACAAACCAAATCACCATTAGAATCCAGGAGGCATTTAAGAGAGAAAAAGGAAGTGAGGACTCAATTCTTGCACACGATTGTGCTCTTAATTTTGCTTGATTTAAATGAACTAAAGCAGAGACAGTAACTATCTAAAATTCCTCAAACCTGAACCACTGAGGCCAGTTAGCCATATAACACAGCCTTTTTGTTGAAGTAGCTGCTGCCTATCGTGTTTCTGAATTGGGCAGTCATGCCACAAAATGTTTGTCGACTTCCCAATATTTGACATCTGGTGGAGATTTTTACCTAGTTAGATAATAAATTCGTTAAGATTGGAACCCTAACAACTATAATCATATATTCAATCACTTCTTAGCTAGACATTAAATTGGGTTGTTGTGGGTGGGGGGGGGGGGGGAGTCAACTTCCCATACCTATGGGTCAATCCTTAAACCATATTTCAACGAAGTCGATGAGATATCCAGTTTGACTCAAACAGGAATTTCACAAAGAAAGCGTACGCTTTATATAAACTCCAGAAGACTCAGACCATTCAAGCCTTAAACCTTAAAAAGATGAAGCCGAAAAGCAGAAATAAAAAAACCAGCAAAACAGAAACAACTCTACAATACTTACCGCTCTTTTTATTATTTATGATTATGATTCGCAGATCAAAAGTCACCTAGGTGGCCTTTATCAGCTCGCAAGAACCACTCACGAATCTGTTCTCTCTGTTTTTTTTTTTTTTTTTAAATGGCAATAGAGGCAATTCGGCGAACAGATGCATCGATGTTAAGTTGACTGTTTGGCCAACTGGCATGGATAAGGTTGCTATTAGCTACACGGCACTGAATTATGACCCACTTAGCTGAGCTGTACATGTTAAATGGTTCAACTGGAATCTCTTCGCCATCTTTCTTTCCTAATAATTATATCGTTGAACGCGTAACCAATTTATATGGAAAAAGATGGCATTTTATAATTTTTTTTTAATAAAATAAATTGTAAAAGGTCAAAGATTCTGAATGATTCAATTCCTTCTCGCTCGGTCTTCTACGGTATAACGAAGCTCGTTGAAATTACCTAGTGACTCTAAACACTTACAAAAGCGGAACAGGAATATAAACAAAGTACAAACAAAGAATTTTAGAAAGGGAATTTCAGATTCCAGATCTCGATAAGCTTTTTAAGCTTGCGAGAAAAAGAATCTGAAAATAAAAATAGTACCAGAGAATGCAGCGCGGTCATCAATCCAAGACGAGTTGGAGTCCTCCTTTGCCTTAATTGGCTTCAACCAGTTCCCCGAGCATTTGCGGCTACAGTTATCGACGATCAAAGAAGCGCCGGTTTCCTCCTTCGTTTTAATCGGCTTCAACAAGTTCGATCTCGTGCGGTCACCGTGAAGAACTAAGCTTCCGCAACTACGGTACGATCCAACGACATTGATTCCGCAGAGCTTGGTAAACCCTAGCTTCTCCGCCGCCGGCGTCGGAGACATCGCCGACGGTCCACATTCGGCGTTTTGGAACATTTTTGAGCTACACGGCGGTCTCAGCGCTTTCACGGTGCTCATCTCCGCCGGAGGAAGAAGAATTAGGCGGCAAATTTGAGTAGGTGATGTTCGAAGCTCGGGCTGCGCAATCTCTCCGCGTAACCGTTTTCTGTTACGGCTAACATTCCATGGAAATATTTATATTTAAGCTTTCTGCGAATTGTGTGAATATTCAATGCTATAAAAACAGTCGGGGATTAAAAAAAAATAAAAAATTGTTGGAATTTGCCACCTTGTGATAGTGGTTAACTACGGAGAAATAAAGCTCAAAACAATATTTTGAGAGTTAAATTATGCTGCATTATTATTTTTCAATAGCTGTTATTTTCTTTATCTACAGAGCAAATCTGCAGATAGAATATGGGAAATATTTAAGGTTAATGACTTAAATGAAACTCTCCTTTGCCAGAAAGAGAGACGTGAACGTAAATCCTTCTTGAGCAATGTTGAGCAGAGGTATACATGAAAATTGAAATGGCCATGAGAGACTAAGACGGTGGGATCTTTATTTTTTCTCTCTCCTTTTCTAGAGACTTTTTCCCCCAAAATAGAAATTTATATTAATCATTTTTTGGGTTCATAATCATAAAATTTGAAAGACAACAACCTGTGCAAACCTATGATGCACGAACACGGACACGGGCACGACACGACACTTCGATACGTTAATTTTAAAAAATATTAAATTTTGACATGTTGGGACACGTTTTAATATTAAATAGTATTTTTAAGATGCAAAAGTATAACCGAACCACCACCCCATTCCACCTTTAACCGCCGGTCACCCACAACTCCATACCCATCTCCACCGCACCATCCCTCATATTCAACCTCTCCTCTTCTTTCACCGTCCCACCCTTCACCACCCATCATCACCGGACATCATCTTCCCCAAACCCAACTCACAAACCCACCGATTCAGCCAACTCACAAACCCATCTATTGAAAAAGAGAGAAAGAGAGATCAGAGATGGAGATAGAGATGGTGAAAAGAAACGTTGTTGTTCTTCTTGTTGCGTTGGTTGTGTTTTTTGCTACGATGGTGAGTGTGAAGGGTGATAATTCTGACACGAAGACGCTGGTGAAGGACAGATGTACGATTCTTTCACTACCATTTCTTTCTTTCTTTCTTTCATTACCACATGATTCAAATTAGCAAAATAGAAATTTATATAATTAAATTTCCTAAATAAAAACTGAATAAATTTATCAAAAAAAAATAAAAATATATATATATATATTATGTATAGTAACATATAAAAATTATATTTAAATCAGTACTGAATTTAATTAAAATAAATAAATTATAATCAAATGATTTAACATTCAGTTTTTATTTTTATTTTTGATAAATTTATTCAGTTTTTATTTAGGAAATTTAATTATATAAATTTCTATTTTGCTAATTTGAATCATGTGGTAATGAAAGAAAGAAAGAAAGAAATGGTAGTGAAAGAATCGTACATCTGTCCTTCACCAGCGTCTTCGTGTCAGAATTATCACCCTTCACACTCACCATCGTAGCAAAAAACACAACCAACGCAACAAGAAGAACAACAACGTTTCTTTTCACCATCTCCATCTCCATCTCTGATCTCTCTTTTTCAATAGATGGGTTTGTGAGTTGGCTGAATCGGTGGGTTTGTGAGTTGGGTTTGGGGAAGATGATGTCCGGTGATGATGGGTGGGACGGTGAAAGAAGAGGAGAGGTTGAATATGAGGGATGGTGCGGTGGAGATGGGTATGGAGTTGTGGGTGACCGGCGTTTAAAGGTGGAATGGGGTGGTGGTTCGGTTGATGAAGATGGGAGGAGGGTGATTTGGAAGAGAATGGGGCTGTGGTGTTGGGGCGGTGGTGAAGTTAATTTTTACAAACAAAAATTGTCTAAACGTGTCCCAAAACGTGTCTACATACATTGACCGCGTGTCCGATTCAGTCAAATTCGCGTGTCCCACTAGTCAACGTGTCTCAAAAAGTCAACTGCATGTCGAACGCGTGTCGGACATGTGTTCGACACGTCATTTTTCCCAAAAAAACGTGTGTCCAGGTATTGTAGGTGCAAACTACAAGATACTCAGTCAAGTAAAAGATTTTGTGTTAGATGAAGTATTCAAAATTGAGTGAATTAAATCAAAATCGAAAAATTAAATTTAAAAAATAAAACAAAAAATTAATTGAAAATTAAAAAAAAATAATAAAATAAATATTTAAATTGGATCAATGTTTAACTTCTAATTTATGATTAATACAATTTTTATTGAATCAAGATTATATATGGGTTTTATGTTTGTTATGTTACATGATGTAACATAATTTTTCTACACACACAATTTTATGTGAGTCTCATTCCTTGATTTTTCCCTCTCCTTTCTTCTCCATCCTCTCTCTTCTCAATTGTATGTGTAGAAAAGTTATATTACATTATGTAATATAACTTCTGATTTACCCATCATATATATCTATAATATTTTTCTTAAGATATTTTAATATTATTTATAGACGTTGGATTTTCTCATGTTGCATGATAATTAAATTCTCATGTTGTGACTCAATTAGTGGTGAGTCCCACATTTATTAAAAAATAAAAGAAAAGTTTTGCACGCAAATCGAAGGATCACAACATGAAAATTCAATTCTTATGCAATATGAGAAAATATTTTTCCTTATTTATACTTTAAGAACTTTATTTTTTTGGAAACAACTTTAAGAACTTTTTTTTATACATTATTCTCTGATATGTATATTGTAAGAACAATAAGTGCCTGTTTGGATCCTCGTTTTTTAAGCTAGAAGCTACTTATAAGTATAAGTTAAGCCAAACAGGTTTTGGGAAAAGCTCTTATAATGAAAAACTCTTTTTTTTATAATAAAAAAAAGCTGAAAACTAAAAGCTTCTAAGAGGAGCTTTTTTTAAGCTCTTATCTGTTTTTCTTGAATTTTGTGTTTTTTTTAATGAAGAGTAATAAAGATAGAGAGAGATAATCTTCTTGAAATACGTGCTTTTAAATAAATTTTAAGCTAAAATTTTTATGTAATTTCCAAACAGCTTTTAGCTTTTTTTTTTAAGATTTTTTTTTTTAGCTTTAACTTATAATTAAGTAGCTTATAGCTTAAAAATAAGAGGATCCAAACAGGCTCTAAGACGACAATTAATTTTAGATTATATTTCAATTTTAAATTTGTATTCTACTGAAATTATATTTTTATACTTTAATAAATTTATTGATTAGTCCACTAACTATTGGGGTACACGATTGAGCATGCTATAGTTGATGGGTGTCTGGGCTGATGTGTTGTCTGTGTGGTTGGCGAGATGGTTGAATTGATACTGATACTTTGGAGTAGTTTGAGGAGAGTGGTGCTAATTATAAGGAACTCCATGCTTAAGTCAATAAGAATTCAATTTGTTAAAATATTGATGGGAAGATGAACATACCTTAACTTAATGCTTATGTATTTATAGTAAATAAGTGCCTTATTTATGTCACCTTAATATAGAGTGTTAATTTTCTTTTGATGGGGAATGGTAGCTTTCGTTGGTGACATTGTGGTCGAGATGCATAGTTAAGCTATGCCCTTGTAGATATTGTGGCATGCAGGTGGTTCCATATGTTAGGATGTTGCGAGATCCTCAAATTACATGGAATAGACATATAATTTCTTTACTAAGTAATGTTATGTTTTGCTTATTGCACCTCTCTTCGATTGAGCCTATTATCTCGTATGAGAAAGGTCTAGATCATTTATATATTAAACAAAGGATAAAGTGTGTGTCATTTTAAAGAATGTAAAGTTATATCATTTTAAGAGAGAAAAAGAGATAGATAAAGGAAGAGAGAGTTGACAAAAAAATAAAAGTGTGAGTCCCACTTCTTTGTGAGAGTGAAATGATATAAGTTGTGTTATTTAAAAGGATAAATACTGTTTAAGTCTAACAAAAAAACCGATGCAATCTAAAGACTATTTAAATTAAAATATATCATAGTTATATTTTGAATCAAGTCGATTGAATAATATTATAAGAAAAACGATTAAACTAGATCAATTACTTTTTTTGCCCTTAAAACGAATCCAATTTTAATCTGCAAACACCCTAAATTAATCTGTATCCTGCTGTGCACACACAGTACATACTACAGTAGAAAACAACTGTGAATAGTAAGTGGAAATTTCTTTTGTATAGCATAGTTTAAATAGATTAAACTACTAAATAATTAACATATATTATCATTTTTATAAATAAGTGATATAATTAAAAAAATTACTATTTGATATAAACTAATAATGTATTAGATTTTTTTTGGGTACTTAACGTATTGTTCATTTATTAATTTTTTTAATTATACAGAAAGAAAGTACTCAAATTAACTTGCCCGTAAACTATAGTACTTTGACTAAATTTATTTCTTATTAAATTACAGAAACTACATGTGTGACAAAATCCATAAAAGAATCTCTCGACTGAGTGAGTGGTGGGCTCGAAAGTAATGCGTCCAGCACTAAAGTAATAACTAATAAGCGTGGATCTCACTTTTCACGACGTTCATGCGGTCCAGACTTGCCACGCCCAATTATTTTGCGACTCAGTTGTCTAATTTATCTATGCAGATGTGTACATAAAATGCTTTACATGTTAGAAAACACTACTCTCGTATTGTTGAACTTGAAGAGCAGTTCTCTTTTTTATATATCTATCGATTTTTTGTGTAATTCATATTTTTTTATAAGTAAGTATGCCTCACAATTATATCCATAATTTGAGAGAACTACTCTCTTATAGCATGAGATTAATGTTTTTCATGTTATAAGCGATAAAATTAACTCTTATACATACTTAAAAGTATATAGGGTGCATATTTGTTTTTTCTCTTTTCTTTTCACATGACCTTCACATATTTTTTGTTGTTGCATGAGACAATTTATTTCAGAAAACATAAGAAACACATTTCTCATATATAAAACAAATCATGTTAACCAATACCTTAGCTAAACAGATTTAAAATCTTATTAGTTGTCTTGATATTATTCATGGTAACTTATACTCTTATTTGTTGGGTTGTATATAATTTCCACTGTTTTTTCATCATATCTAAATGTATTGTAAACTTTATCATCATTTATAATTAGTTTTATACTATTTTTTAGTCTTGTACTATTTAAACGAAGAAATTAATATTTCTTATGTAATATGAGATAATTTTATTCCCTACACATATATAAAAATATGTAGGGCTCATGTGAGGAGAAAAAAAGGAAAAATATATATATAAGACTTGTATACTTTTACGTGTATGTAAGAGATAAAATTTATCTCCTATATCATGAGAAACATTATCCCCTTAAATAAAAAATAATATATCCCCTTAAATAAAAAATAATATATCCGACTTTTCTTTAATACATAGGAATAAAAGACATGAAGAAACTATTGACAAAAATATGTTAGTGGGTTGTTCGAGATGTACCATAATGAGAAACATCAAACTCATAAATAAATAAAAGAAATAGTTTTTGCATGTGACAATAATCTGTGTTTAAGAGAAACTATTACCAGTTTTTATATCTACAACAAAATCATAGTCTTAACGGGAGGTAAATATAGGATAGGAATAACGACCACATTTTACGGCAAACAATATTAATTTAATATGTCTTATGGGTCCAAAATGATATTACTATTAAGAACCTTCGGATACATCACCCCAAAAGCTAACTCAAAGGGTGAGAGTGCTCAAGGCCTTATAAACTCCACATTAGTTGCACATACAACCAATGTGGGACTATATATCTCAACACGCCCCCTCACACGAGAGCCCATTGGGCTTGAAGAGTGGACAATGCAACAGGCCCAGCCTACCTGTGCTAAGAAACGCCACAAGAGAAAGTGGGGGACGGCGAGGCTCTGATACCATGTTAAGAACCTTGGGATACATCACCCCAAAAGCTAGCTCAAAGGGTGGGAGTGCCCAAGGCCTTATAAACTCCACATTAGTTGCACATACAACCAATGTGGGACTATATATCTCAAGCACTTTAATAATGTAGAAAACCATACTCAAAGAATAGTGATATCGTGCATGATATGTTATATTTTGTGACCGATAAAATGTGAAAACATAGATAAAAATATATAATAAAATAAATATTTTTTTCTCTTTCTTTCTCCTCACTTCCTCCCACACCATTTCTCTCTGTCGATCACCAAAACAGAAAATTCAGGGAACGAAAAACACATACCATCGACGATCATCATTAGAAAAACCTCACTTCCTCCAAAACCTCATTATCCACAACTCAATTTTTTCCAAAAGTCAAAACATATTATGAACGAAAAAAATTCTGGGAATTTCACATCCAACCATACTAGTAACAAAAGAGTCATATGAAACAAATCCATTACTTTTGTTGTTGGATTGTGTGAGAATTTTTTTAAAAGATTATTGAATAAAAAATAAAAAATAAACACATCGAAGCAAGTATATGAACCTCTTTCAGTACCTACAATTGGCAATACATTTGACATTAAAAATGATTCTGCTCTTTTTGTTTAGTAGATCTATAACGGTGACAGAAGTTGAGTATGCAATTGCCATAGTAACCGATAATATCGATTGAGATAAATTAAAGATGAACAAGATCAGAAGTCCGTAAGTCATGTGCTTTTCATTACTATGACAAAGCAAATTCAGCAATCCAAAAATATATTAGATTTTAAACATTAATGGTTGTTGGAATACGGATTACTATGTACTAAAATTTAAATTTATTAGATTAAGAACGCATGAAAAAGAATAGGCAAGGGTCATCAATAGAGAGAAAGGGTATGGAAGGAAGTGAGGAGACAGAAAGAGGAAAAAAAATTTATTTTATTTCGTAAATATTAATTGTTGGATGAGATTGAAATCTAACGGTGTTGAAAGGAATAGGCAAATGTAAGCAGAATAAAGGTAAACAGAATAACTTATTCCTAATAAATTTGCATGAAAAAAATGAATGTAGAATATGTCAAGAATTCCATTGAGATTTAATAACATATTTTTTTTATATATAAAACATTTCAGTACAACAAAATGAAATAAAGTACCAAAGTCTTCAATAATATGCCATATCATCGTCCAAATGTTCTTATAATAACATTTGATCACAAAATATTAATAAGTCTTGATATCTCTGCCTAAGATACCCATCCTTAAAGTCAACAAAAGTTAAACCTAACTTTGTAGAAGATCATAAAATTTTTGTAAATTGTTCTGCCAAAAGGTTCACGAAATAAACATTATTCAAGCACAATTGTGATAAAATCACAATAAAAAAGCACTAGTTCACAATTATACAATATATATAAATCGAAATTCCCAATATATATTTAAATAAATTTTACACTGCCTTAAAAGTTGTCCATGAACAAAATATTCAAATAATATTATCACAAACAAACACATTTAAAAATTATTTAAATGGCCCAACATAATATTGGCATAGTTAGAATTCGTGTATGTGATCATGTGTTTATTTACATGTCATATGTTTATTCACCATCCTCTGATGGTTGTGAAGTACGTAATTGGTTTACTCTTTTTTTAAAATTCAATATGAATTTTAATATTATGAAGATAATTTAAATAGTCATAATAATATATATAAAAGTTGCAATTCAAATTGATTTATTTGTAAGTTATAACAATATAAAAAAATATTTTGTCCCTTTAAACCGCTGCATGCTTGCTTATGATGACATTCATATAGTATGACAGGATCCTACCTATTTAATGTTTACCAAGAAAGAGATAAGCATAAAATTTACATAATAATTTGATATGACTTAAGCCGGGTAGCAGAAGGAAGAAAATATGGGGAAAACATATTGCATAAAAGGGATCATAAAACTGATCATGTAAGGAGATATAGGTCTTAATTTGATGGTGAGAATAAAAAAGAAAATGAGAAAAAAATTGATAATAATGATGAAAGTTATATATATCTTCTTCTTTTTTGAAGGTAACATTAGCAAGGAGGTTAATATAATTGCATCGTGTAATATCAATTTTGTGGCGCGAAGGTATCGGTGACCTCGTACAACAATGCAACTTCAAGCATTGTTCACTCTACCTGTGGATTTTGTGAACCTAAAATCATCCTAGTTTCATAATCAGATTCAGGTTTATGAATAGCTCAGCCTTTATTGGTGAGAAGTTGAGTTAATGTTTGGATACTCTCTTTTTTTAAGCTAGAAGCTCCTTATAAGCATAAGCTAGGCCAAACAGGTTTTGGAAAAAACTTTTATAACGAAAAACCATTTTTTTAATAATGAAGAAAAAAGCTGAAAACTAAAAGCTCCTAGGAGGAGCTTTTTTTTAAGCTCTTATCTGTTTTTTTTAAATTGAGTGTGTTTTTTTTTTTAAATGAAGAGTGATAAAGATAGAGAGAGATAATTTTCTTAAAATATGTGCTTTTAAGTAATTTTTAAGCTAAAGTTTTTATGTAATTTCCAAACAGCTTTTAGCTTCTTTTTTTAAGCTCTTTTTTTTAGCTTTAGCTACTTAAGTAGCTTCTAGCTTAAAAATAAGAGGATCCAAACAGCCTCTAAGCCTTTGTTAGTGGATCTTAAGTTGCCTAATACGTTAATCAAGGTTTTTGAAAAAGTGAAACATTTGTAACAGAAGTTACTTGAGTTGTCTAGTCTGATAGATTATAAGACCTTGAAACGGTTTAAATTATGAACAACTCAAAAGATCAATCCATCACCTAATTAATTTTTCTTTTATAAAAAAAGAAATAGTTTATTTCGAGGACGATACATAATTAGGAATGATCCCCTCTCACTATATACCATATATATTTATAGAAGCCTTCATCAAGTTTACATTTTTTCTGCAATCTTTTCTCTGTGGATGGAGCTTCGTGAATTTGGCACCCGAAATGCATTCTTCAGTCCAGTCATCAACCTATGTCGAAAAGTCTTTGTCATCTTTGGATGGTTCTCCACTTGACGGTTCTCCAATATTCTGTTATCAAACTGAATGCTTGAAGACGAAGCAGACCACCTTTCATCCCTCTTTATTCTACCATTCTCAACATAATGGAAACTCGCAGAGCGCTCTGACCCCAACACATTCCTCTCTTCCTCCTCCTCATCCTCAGCTTTCCGTTCTAGCAAGACCCTGTTCATGCACCTAAGCTCTTTTTCCAGGCTTTGAATGCGAGCATTCGTGGAATCCATGGCTTTCTTAAGCTGTGCCGTTTCGCGCAGCGCAGCGTCGTGACGGAGGAGGTCCCTCAGTGTCAGTGGATTATCTAATTCCGAGGAACGACGTTGTCGTTCTCTGTTGCTCTCGAATTGGAGTTCATGTTGATGTTGATGATGATGCTGAGGCCCACTCGCACAGGCAATGGAGTGGCGAGTGTTGAGATGCTCTATCAACACTGCTCGCACTACGAATCTCAATGGCATCCTTGGGTTTTGAACACACTCTGCTAGGGTCTCACTCGAGAGCTTCGTGCAGTCTATGGAATTGCATATTCGAGTTTTCTGTTCCTCACTTAGTTTGCCAAACTTGTTTTCCTTCACAAATACCATATATATAATGACGAAATCTAAAAACAGTAATGATTTTTACAACATATATAAACAATAATGTTGTCTCAAGGTTTTGACCCAAATAATTAAAAACAGAGTAGAGCTACTTAATTAATCACTAAATCAACTCATGTCATAAGATACTAATATTAAGCCTTAGATTTTATAATTATTAGATTCAAACCCCAAACAAACTCGTCATTTGAAACAAATGATATTATAAGTAGGGAAAAATATTTCTGCACTTGATACAATTATGTTAGTATTCTCAAAACGATGTCGTTTTGGTATTAAAATTTTAAAAAATATTATAAATATAAAGACTATTATAACTCTGAAATAAATTAAAATTACAAAAATATCATAATTTCTGCATGCCCAAAATGATGCATATTATAACTGCAGATAACTTATCTGCCGCAGACAAAACGAACCCTTATAATTATCATTATAAATTTTATCTATAATTTTAACGAAAAAATACTTGTTAATTATTTTAGTTAAAATTAATATTTTTTATTTTAAAATTAAATTAAAAAAAAAACTCCTACTTTCTTTTTCTCTGACTTGAAATGAGTTAAGACACTAATTTGAGGCGTACCTTAAGATACAAATCAACCATTTCATAGAGTACGTCGTGGTTCCCGAACCGTCTGTTTATGGATTCAGTTACGGCTTCAAAATCTTGGGGTTGCATTTCCACCACGACGTCGTCTATACGAGTAGCACAAAGGTTACTGTGACCGCAAACCAACACTTCAATGCATCTGCTAACAAGAGACGCCGTCGTTTCTGCGTCTGGAAGCAGAGGCAGGCACGAACGGAGAACCATGGTCGCGTACTCTTGGTTAATGCCAATAACTCCGCGGAAGTACGTTTCCGCCACGTGGCTCAGGCCCTCTCCTCCTTCTTGGTTTCCGGCCGCCGTCATTCCCAGCAGCTCCGCCGCCGTTCTGATGGAAGCGACGTTTGTCGGCGTCATTTGGACTTTGCTGTTGTAACAGAATTCAGCTACGGCCGCGAAGGTCCCGGCCGTTATGTTTAACGGCGGAGAGAGAGTGAGGTTGGATGTTTCCGTCAGATGCCGTTTTAGGTATGAGCTTTGTGACACCACACGATCCTGAAATTCGAGAACATAATAAGTGCTCAATGATCTATAATTTCATTAACAGCCAAAAAAACAGTGTAGCTCTTATTTCGATGGAATTAATTAATTAATTAAAGCAATGTCCCTACACGAAATAGATGTATTATTAATTTATTATTATTATTATTATTATTCTGTTTGGTTTGATCAAATCCTTTTTTTCTATTACTTTATTTGATTTTAACAATGTTAATGGTTATGGGTTTTGAGATTCAGCACCAGTTAGGAACAATCATGTTTTAACTTTTAGCCGCCAGTAATCCCAAATAAGCAAATTAGAATATCAGCCAAACATTTTACTAACTAACATCACTCATAACTTTCCTTCTAAGATTATTGGTATTGTTTTGGTCCAAAACAAACACCCTAACACCTAACTACAAAGCTATTATGCATAGGAAATCTTTGGAGGAAAAAAAAAAAAAAAAAAACGAGCGAGGACAAATAAAGGACAAAACGAACCCAGTACTAGTAGTTAAAAAGCAGATTAAACAGAAAATCACAATGGTGAATTATAAACAGACCTTGTGCAGACGAAAACATGTTCCTTGAACACGTATCAAGATGTCTGTTTCACGCCCGGTTTTCAGAGACCTAATTGAATAATAAATATTTATTTTTTTCAATATGATGAGAAAGATATGATTAAAAAAAGCTTTATACATGGAACGCTATATTATATAATAAAAACGGAGGGGAATGAAAAATAAGATAAGAGAGTAACTGAAAAAATGGAGAGAAGGAATAATTACCAAGCCTCAACTCTGGAGTGGAGGGATGAAGGGGAAGAAGAAAATGATGGTGAAGGGGAAGGGGATGAGGTAGAGGAAAACTCGCATTCTTCCTCATAGATGGTCTCAACCACCCCTAATTGGTTCCAACCCCTCATGTGGTGAATTGAATCTCACACTTCACAGTGCACACAGTTTTCAAAGCTTTTTTCAATGTTGCCCGTTATTAGCAGAGGTTAGAAATTCCCTGTGCGAGCTCATAAATATTGTTAGAGAAGGAAATTAATGTCACATGTGACTACTTGTCCACTCATAAATGCTGATCGTAAATGCTGACTGTAATTCCCCATTTTTTTAAAATTAAAAATACTTTGGTCCAAATTCTATATTGCAAGATAATCTTCAAAAAAAAAAAAAAAAAGCACATTAATCAGAGAAAATTCCATATAAGGAAAATTTGCGTTTTCTTTTTTTGAAAACGCAATAACCACGATAACCTATTTGTAAATAAATATACAAGTCATAACTAATTTTCCGGTCATCTCATGAGTCATACACTAATAAGATTCAATAACGTAAGGTAATTATTCCCCTCCCTTATAAAGCCCTTTATTAATGCAGTGCACTGCAAGCGTTTTTTCACAATGACATTGTCAAACATGACACTTATTGGACTTTTTTGGTGGGTATGACCACGGCCCAATCCAAGTCCACGTGAAAAAAGAAGAATTGAAAAACCTACCTTCGCCAATGTGCCATAGCTGCTGAGGTGCGTTTGGTAAAAGATTTTTTTAAAAAAAAATTCGAAAAATTGAGAGTGATTATCTTATTTATTTATATTTGGTCTGAGATTTTTAAAAAAATTTCGGGAAGCTGATTTTCCCGAAATTTTATTTTGTATATAATTTTTTTTGAAAATACCATCCATGAATTTTCATGGCAAGGAAAAATTTAACATAACCAAACATAAAATCAAGAAATTTAACCCAACATTTTCGAAAATATTTTAGCCTACCAAACAACTTTTTGGTAACATTTAAAGGAAACTCATTTTCCCACCATATTCCTAGAAATCGTGATTCTCGGGTGAAAAAATTTTCTTATGTTCAAAACGCCACCTCAGAAAGAAATGAAGTTCAATGTGAGGGTCTCAAGCAGTCATTATCTATTCACTAAATTATAGGATGTTACAGTTGCATGTTTCGAATACTCTGCAATTGTGATAGGAACCTTCCGAGAGCCTAACCCAATATACCTCGTACAAGAATCTTATGTTTCCAATGTGAGAATTTAAATCTCATGCCAGAATTTTATGTTTTCAAACATACATTGTAATTGAATTGTAACACGTTGTTGCCTTGTGGTACATTGATGAGGTAGGATTGTAGGAAGATCTTAATGTGGTGTCCTTGGAAATCAGAGTGTTATGAGACAGTTGCACGGCAAGCTCGTTTGTCCGTGTTGTACTTCAGAAATTCCTAGTCGTGAGCAATGTTGTTAAAACATAAAGTCTACGCCGAAATGGTAGAAGTGAGCAAAAACGTAAAAACATGAAACGTAAGAGTTTACTACATAACAAAAAACAAAATCCAACATATAACCAAAAGTCATCACAAATTTAAGTCCAAACACTAAGGAAATAAAAATTAAGTTCAAACTTAGTCATAGTAATACATACTAAAATCAAAACACCAAGGCAATAAAATTATAAAAGAGATCAATATCTCTAATTTAAGTCATTGGAGTCCAAGTCATGGAGGCATTTCAAAGTCAAATAGGATGTGGCAAAGCGAGTCATGGCGGGTCTAATCAAATCTTTGCCACTGGTGAAGCTGTGCAATATTGAAATGAGAGATGTTCTTAAATAGATATAAGTTGTAATTTTTTCCCCTTATAAATTGTGTCTTTATGAAGGGGTATTTTCTTCTCTAAATCTTCCAGCATCAAATCAATGAAGTGAGCAGCACAAGGTGCACAATACATTTTCTTTCTTTTCTCCATCAACTAAGCCCTACCAGCTTTATAATTTGCAGCGTTATCCGTCACAATTTGGACAATGTTTTCTTCACCAATCTCCTCTACCACTTCATCAATCATCTTAAAAATCTTGTCAGCTGATTTTCAATGGACTTAAGGAACACAATTCCCATAGAGCTATGCACACAAAAGTTGATTATTGTTCTTCTTCTTTTATCAGTCCATCCATCAGTCATTATTGTGCATCTAGTTTTCTTCCATAGAGCCTTATGTGTTTCAACAACAGCCCTTATCATATCATATTTTTGCTTCAAGTATTTCACTTGTAACATCCTCGTCTCGAGCCGGTTCAATTAACATACATATGATACTAAACAGAAATAGCGGAAGACTTAACTTACGAAAATACGAGCTAGCTTTTTCTTTTTCTTTAATCCTTTTTCACATGATATATCACATTGCATACAACTTCTAGTTTACTTTTCATTTGACGGAGACGAAAATTGGACAGAGTACCGTCTGTAAATCGAACAAACGGGGATTTGCAAATCCCACTCTCAAGGTATCCTGATAGACAGTTTATACAATATATACTTCCAGAAATACCAGATATCCTTATAGGACCATATATCCATCCATGGGCGCATGCATAACTTGGCTCCGTGCCACTATGTCTAACAGCATGCAAATCCAACATGTAAACATATAACTGATTACTACATCATAATATAGACATGCCTGAATACACAGATGTACATACATCAAAGCGGAAAACATGTACTAAACATATACAGGCCATATACAGAATAACGAATCAGACATCATTATCCTCAAAATGAATGTAATACTGAAACACATAAACAATCCTCAAAATAATGGTAGCATACTACTATCCAAAATCCAGTCTTGAAGCACTCTATCCACGGGTCGTATCCCTGCCCCGTGAAGGCTCACTGGTTATCTTTGCACCTGAAATGATGTCTCCAAATAGGGTAAGATAACAAATCCCTGTAAGCTCCAAGTTTATAGAGAATTCTCCATACCCTTGGGCCCACAGTTGCATGAAAGTCAGATACAGAGTATACAAAGCATCATATAACAGATATCAGAACTGAACAAAACATATATACATATCATATCAGAGGCGCACACAGTTGTTCCCAAGGGAGGATCCCAAGCAGAATCAACGCACGTGTTCCCAAGGGAGGACCCCAAGCGGAACCAGAACATATCAGAGGTGTACATAATCAGTCCCGAGGGAAGACCCCAAGCAGACATTAGTGCATGAACAAATCAATGGCCAAAGATCAATACAGAAATCACATCAGAACAAATCATATTATGTTATCAAATAGCTCTATATGAATGCATATATACAAAACATCAAATACAATCATACAATCCAACCATAGTTCACTAACAATGGTGGAGCACTCAAGCAGGAAAAGACTCCTTAAACATAGAGCTTACCTCGTGAAGCTTCACACTTTGCTTACTTGAAATTTGTTGGAAACCACCTCCTAAACACATTGGTGGCACCCTTGAGCCTTGAAACGCATTAGATTTTGAGAAAGTCCCCCCCAAAATCTGCGGCCCTTTTGTGTAGATTTGTGTTCATGGAGTTGTATTGAGCTCCAATGGTTTAGTATGTTTTGGAGGAGTCTTAGGCCAAGCTATTGAGTAAGTTTCCTCACATTTTGATGGTTTGATTTGTTTATTTGGTTTCATGAACCCTAAAGGGGCTTTTGATGATTTGTGTTGTTAGAGAGCTCAAATGAAAAATGTGTATTAGATGATTATGTCTTAGAATGATGTGTTGGACCTATAAATGCAATAAAAATTATTGGTGCAAAATATGTTCATAACATAGGAAAATTTGGATGATGCCATGACTTTGTGAATTGGAATTGTGTTAGCATTGTGTGAGTGAGTTGTTGTATGGTTGTATGATGTTATAATGAGATTGTATGAGGTGTGGAATAGTTGAATTGGATTGAAAATTCTTTGGGGTGTGTCTATGGTGAATTCGGCCTTGTGAAGAAAATAAGGGAATTGATGTTGCAAAAATTGTTTGGATGATGTGTTGTGTATTATATGGTAATTAGAAGGGTTGTGTGATGGTTGGAAGCTTTGAAAAGCAATGGAAAAATAATGGAGTATATTGGATTGTGTATTGTCCCTAGAAGGAAATAATTGGGCAAAATGATGTTAGGATGGTATAAAATGAAAAGTGGCACCTAATATGGCTTTTTTGTAACCTTGGGGTGCCTAAGAAAAATGAAAAGAAAATTTAGAAAAATAATTTGTAAAATAACACTACAATGGTCGAACCTACCTAGGTGTGGGGGAGGAATTTGATGTTTTTGGATTTTGATGGATTTGTCGTGTGTTGATTATCTATACATGGTCATTGTAGGTTGACGTAGGTGGATTTGAACCCCGAACCATGAGCTCGGTGGGCTGCCCTTGGTCCCGGACCAAAGGGATTGTGGTGAGTATTTTAAATCATGCCTTTATGCTTGAGAATTGGCATGTAATTGTTGAATGGGAGATGATTGGGAATGTCCTTTGTGTAGGCATTTATGTAGTGTAACGAGCTCGGAAAATATATTGCATTGGAGCTACGTGGAGAGGATTATACAGGTAAGCTCTTGGTACTGGGGCTTGATCCCCTTGTGTGTTCTACCATGCCCGTTGAGGGTAAAGGTAGGAACTGTGTGTAAGTAATCTAGGATAACATGTTCATGCATATAGTATGTGTTTTGGTACATAGGATGTACCGTGTCTCTGGCCAGTAGACAGTTTGCCTTCGGGCGTTACGGACTTCCACTGGATAGGTCTCCGTGAGGGAGTTCTAGTTGACCTAGGGTCGTGGTGTGTGATCCGGATAGGAGCACACTAGGAAGTCTCGGGTGGTTATGCATGGAGGGTGCCTTGGTTTGATGTTATGGGAACACGCCTTGGTTGAGACCTGTAGGCTTATATGTCGAGGCCAATAGGCTGGACGTTGCGTGGTTTTGGCATTGACCATTCCAACTTCGTCGTATTTTGTATCCCTATGCTCCCCTATTTCTCTAAATCCCTTGCTTTATCCCATTTTCGGATGTTTGTTATGTTATTTATATGCATCGAAGTGAGCCATTGGGTGGAGTATTCTCCAGAACCTCTGGGTTACTGTGAT